CATACCGTGCCTTACCATGCAGTGGAAAAGCGCCATATGGAATGAGGGTCACTTAACATATAGACACAGGGAGAAAGGATGTTGTTCAGGATGCTAAATGTTTCATTTGTTTAATTGGCTCATTATTAGGAGTGGCTGATTGTATACTTTACCTTACTTTCCAAACAGCAACCTAAATGCAGGCCTATTTTTATAAAGTTATAAATCAATCCTGTGTCCAATAAAAAAGCTGAGGTCTATTCTTAGAGAACAGACAGAACTACAATATTTTTTTTATCATATTCTTAGCATTAATGGCATTAAATTAAAATATATAATACATCTATTATAATTATTCAGATACAATTATACAGATATAATACAGATTAAAATTTCTGTCTTGAACAAATAGTTCATCTTCACTTCAGTGTACTTAAAATTAAAAATACAGTTTAACCCAGTGCTTCCCAAACCTGTCCTGGAGGCCCCCCTGCCCTGCACCCTCTCCCTTATTACACACCTGATTCCACTCATCAACTTGTCAGTAGAGACTGCAAGAACTAAATTGGGTGTGTCTGATTAGGGAGACATACAAAATGTGCAGGGCAGGGGGCCCTCCAGGACAGGTTTGGGAACCACTGGTTTAAACTTTACAACATCTGTACAACTGTTTATTTACAAAATCTGATTGATTAGTGTCTGATGTTGATGTCTGTTCTCTTCTCTCCTGTTCTGGATTTTATGTCATAAAGCAGAACAACAACAGCAGCCACAGCAGCCACGCCCATCAGAGCAGTGACGACTAATCGGGTCACAGCTTCAACAGAATCACAACAACGGAAAGAGTCTGAGCGGGGGAAAAAATTAATTCAGCTGATCAGTTCATTAACAATCACCACTACAAAACGTCTAAGATCACTAAAGACCTACCTGAAATCAAATAGAAGTCAGTAATGTCCAGATGTGTGGTCTGGTTGCTGATGGGATTGTTGAGCACACAGCTGTAGGTGTTGTTATCCTGATATTCCACCTCCAGAGGTAGAGAGAGACTGATTCTGAGATCAGACTCATTGATGCTGGACAATAAACTGTTTCCTTTGTACCAGGAGAGAGTCACGCGGCTCACATTGGACACTGAACACAGGAAGATCCTCGATGATCTTTCAGATGATGAAGAGGATGCTAATGTGTCAATGAAGATTACAGGAATGGGCAACAGAGCTGGAAAACAAGGAAGAAATGACAGTAGGTATGAGGGATGCTTTGTCAGTGATTTAATGTGTACAGAGTCCAAGTTTATTGTGATATGACTCAGTGAACATTTAATCAGCTGATATGCTCCCATTTTAACATTTATAATTGATTTACATTTCATATAGAATTACACTGTTTGAGAGACCAATGACTTAAAAAGCTAATAAAAATAAAGTATAGCCAAGTTACATTTTCAGTAACATGAAAATTAAAAATCAGGAATATGCACTCTATTAAAATGGTAAACATCTACTCACCATAAACAGTAACACTGTAACTCTGGATTGACTGCACATTTCTGACCATGATAGTTAGATCATAAACTCCAGTGTGTACAGACCTAGTGTTAGTGATGGTGAGTGATCCAGTTTGATTATCGAGCTGGAGTCTGGAGTCTATGAATCTCAAATCATCTTCATAAGATGTAGAGAAGATACCGCTCACTCTTTTGATTCTAGCTATTCGAATGTTTCCAAATGTCCACTCTATCTCATCACATGTCTGTATTTCAGTAACATTAGATTCTAGAATAAGAGTATCTCCCTCCATCACTGACAAGGACTTCACTCCATTTGTCTCAGCAACAAAAACACCTGCAGAACATGTTTAAATATATACAGCAGTGTTCTGTTGTTAACATGCATTGAGTGTCATGAAATAACAATGTTTTAATTAAATGTTAATTCATAAACATATATTTGTCAATAATGTTTGTTCATAATATATTCATCATGATTTACATTACTTGAATTTACATGTAAACATTTTAACTTAACTGTCGTGCTACCAATAATGTAAATCCTCTGACTTAAACATCACTACTACCGTGTGATGTTAATGGCGTCATTAAAAATACATTCATACTTACCAAGCAGATGACAAAAACACAAAGAAAACAAAATCAACGCGTGGATCATTTTCTTAAACCGTATGACATAAATCGCTTAGTCTGTAGATATCAACAGAACATGTGTCATAAACCTGCTTCACTATCGTAACAACCGTATGAAGATAAATTCGAGGTTTGTAGAGCCGAAGGGAAAAAAAAACTCAGTCGCGCCTCCGTGAACGCGCGCGCAATTGTGAGCGAGAACGCGCTCAAGTATCAGCCCCCCCCCATGCAGATTAAAACTTCCTCAGCCCCCAGTATGGTTAGGTTTAGGGTTAGGTGCGGGGGTAGGATTATACAATCATGCGTAAATCCTAATTTAGGGGGGAATAATTTGGCAGGGAGTCCAAATTCGGCACCATACGAAGCGCCCAGTGCATTGGGTCTTGCAGTTTCCCTATCTAGTC